CCTCCCTCCCCAAAACCAATAGTTGCTATTTTCAGTTTTAATATTCAGTATATAAATATTCCCATCAGAAGAAAGAAACTATCCTCTAAGAAACTGCCTCTTCAAAAAGAAAAGATACCCAGATTCAGCAATCTTCTTTCAGAAAATGGGAAATCAATGAGAATCATCATGCCAGTGTGTTTGGAATTACTTAACAAGCCATCACGTGGTCACTGAGCCAAATTATCTCATATCACAGCCCAGCATCCCTACACTGAGGGATAGATTAGCTATACTCATCGACTAAAAATAAACACTTCCTTCCCGACCACAATTTGCCTCTGAACTCAGCTGGGTAAAACAACACAATATTCATTGTGATTGACAGAGTACTTTCAGATATAATGATAATTTTCCCAGTTTTTGAACATGTTGTGTTTTCAGCATGAATTCCAACACAATTGAATGATTCTTACATCAATATGAACTGAGGGATCTGGTGATAACAAACATCTGTACTGTTGTGCATGCAGATGATACACTGGTAGGATCACAGTTTGTTTATTTTGTAACAGAATAATGTGAATAAGGCCAAGTTCAAGAGCTTAGTCCTTTTGGGGGGAATTCAAAATTGCTTTCTTTCGTCACCCCTAACATGGGCTAATGTGCTCATAGACGCACACAACTGATTCCAAGGGTATCCTCGTATTTAGGCTACATTATGAAAAACCCATCGACACTTCCAGAAAATCAAATTAATGTTTATGCCTGGGTGACTGTGTATCAGGAGCTCCCAGATTGGCCCACGCACTGTTCAGTCGGTACTACACAAAAATAATGTTCTAACACCTCGGCATTTTTCACAGTCTTACTATTAAAGCATTTACCTTAATGTATTCCCTTCCATACTTCACTATTTCCTACTCCTAATTCTGTAGACTTGTCATGTTCTTATTTGCATCTTACTCATTTTTGCATTTGGAGCTCTACCCTGACCCTGGTTCCTGACAATGAGTACTACCTCTGCGGTTACACCCCTCTGCTTCTGGTAGGATTCAGATCCTCTCATCCCCTGACTCCATATTTGGCATAATCCAGACTAGCAGATGGGCCTCTCCATCTCTTTTAGGACCCTGCAGCATTTCCCCTTAAAGCTCCTCAAGCAAAGCCAGCCAAGACCCCCTTCTAAACTCTGGGGATGACTTGTCAATAGCCTTTGTAAGACTGGCTCTTGAATGTCTTCTGGGCATCTTAAATGGAAAACCACACTTAGGCCCTATCTCGCATCTTCCCACCTGTCTGTCAGTTCCTCCTTGCTTACACCAGAAATATTGGAGACCTTCTTGGGACTCTCTTTTCCCTCACCACACACCAGGGCCTGTCTTGTTAACTCTAAACCAAAAGCCAGTAAGAGCCCTCTTAATTATTCTCCAGTTACCCGGCTGTTAGAGTAACTGATATTTTTCACTTCTTCTATAAAGACGTGTGACCATGGAATGCTGAATGCTTGCAGCCAACACAAGGTTTACTTCTTCGAGCATCCCCCTATAGTTACTCCCTCCAGTTAAATGACATCTGTGCCAGAAGTCAGCTGCATTTTTCTCCAAACTTGCTGATACCAGTATGCACTTATTTTGATATATTTCAATTAAATACTCCATAAACTGGTTAATTTTGAATTTTAAAAAGTCTGGCTGCATAAACACAAGGTAAAATGTTTGGGCAAATCTCCAAGAAAATTTGCTATTGTTTTAAAACCCCATAATGGGCAAAATTGGGGGAAAAAAAGAAACTAGAAAGTTTTGTGTTCTCATTCTCATCCCTACTTCATAAGGCCATTTACAGATGTCTTTAAAATTCTTTTCATATAAGGGAACCAAAACTGGAAATCATGGAAGATGCAACTATAGGTATGATTCACACAAAAGTAAACCAAACAAAATCAGGTCAGAATTCCAATTCACAAATTCACCCTCAACAAATGGTCCCAAGCTGTATCAAAAGACTGGCAATGAGTTTATATTCTGTAAGTTAAAATAAAATATAGGATCTGAGTACATAGTATTTAATATTTCCCTTTAATCAGCTATTCAAGTAACTAACTAGTGTATTCTATTGGGTAATACAAATAATGACAATAGGTAATATTTACTTATATGAACTCTATACCAAACATGACTATTCCCATTTTTCAGATAATGAAACTGAAGGCTAGGTCTGTATATCCTGACTCTTTCCATCATTTTGCCCACTCTCCTATTCTTTCAATAGCCTCTTAGCCAGTCACTACACTTCCACCTTCAATCCTTCACCAAATTCCATTAACCAATGAATAGTAGAAAATATTTTTTTAATTCAGCTGTGATTATGCCATCACCTACTTAAAAATTTTCAGTGTCGTTCTACTTCCAAATAGATTCAGAATCCTTACAAAGCACTTCAAGACCTGGCACTAACATATTTCTCCATCTTTACCTAACATATCCATCCTTACTCATTGCACACCAGGTACCTCGGCCCTCTTTCACTTCTCAGAACATGCCAAGGTCTTTTCCATTTCTAAGAATTTTCCCATGCTGTGTACTCTGTTAAGAGTGTTCTTTTTTGAGTTTCTCTTCATCCTTCAGACCTCAACTTGAGCTCAACTAGTCTTGAATTCCAATTTAATTACCTCTTTTTCCTAACTTGTAGCATTCAACTACTTTCATTCATAAAACATGACAATTGAAAATATGTATTTATTTGCAATTATTTTACTCCTGTCTTTCAGAAGGGTAAGGGCCATATCTATTTCATTCACCTCCATGGTCCCTCCCATAATACCTTTAATTTAGAAGATAGGCTCACAAATAATGACTCAATGAATCAACCCATCAATGTTTACATCTGAAGTAGAGAAGAAGCAATGCCAAAGAAATTTCAAATGGCCGTAAAACACCTACTACCAGAGTTTCCCCAAAATGGGTGAGTTATTCTCCAGTGATGCTGTGAAATATCTCCAGGGATGGAGACTTCTCCACCACTTGCATTAGATTCTGTTCCTATTCTAACCTTCAGGCTTTCCTTGTAGCTCAGTTGGTAAAGAATCTGCCTGCAAGGCAGGAAACCCGGGTTTGATTCCTGGGTTGGGAAGAGCCCCTGAAGAAGGAAAAGGCAACCCACTCCAGTATGATTGCCTAGAGAATGCCATGGACCAAGGAGCCTGGAGGGCTACAGTCTATGGGGTCAGAAAAGTCACACACGACTTGGCGACTAAACCACCACCTATTCTAACCATCATTATATTAGAGATGTCTAATTCATGAATTCACAATTCTATCACTCCTTCTCACAGATTTAGTAAATTGGGCTTCCTTGGTGGCTGAGACAGTAAAGAATTCACCTGCAATGCAGTAGACAAGGGTTCAATCCCTGGGTTGGGAAGATCCCCTGGAGAAGGGAAAAGCTACCCACTCCAGTATTCCTGCCTAGAGAATTTCATGGACAGAGTAGCCCAGTGGGCTCCATGGGGTTGCAAAGAGTAGGGCATAACTGAGCTAAATAACATCTATATAACATTAGCATTTGTGCTCAAGTTCTTAAATTAGGCATATATTAAAAATATTAAACATATAGGTCATTTGATTATATATTAGAAAATAGTGTTCCAGAAATCAAAGTAAGTCTGAAGGCAATCTTCAGCCCATCTACAAAAACTAACATCTCCCTTATTCCATGAACTGCACTTGAGAAAATACCAAGTCTTCACACAAGCTCTGGTGTTATTTTAGACACAATCCCAGCAAGCATAGCTTGCAGTCAGAATTAGCAAATAAAGATAAGCTTTCTAAAAGCAGGCACTTTGCCAGTGGTGAGAAATAACAGTAGACATGAGAATTCACAATAGGAAAGCTGTCTGGATCCATTTAGTACATGGTCAAGCAGGCCTACATATTTTCATATATCCTGAGGACAGTATTGTATCACTGAGCAGTGTAATAAAAAATGCCTAATGATGACCTTGCATTATGAAGAAAATTGATACTATTTTCAGTGCATACTGCATCAAAAAACAAGGAAGAGAGTACCTTCAGGGGGAAATCACCTGAAAAAAAGTGTGTTTATCTAGAATACATCATTTCCTGACCACATGCCATGAAATCAAGTTATTAGCATATCTTAGAGCTTCACATCCCATGCCTTATTAAAATAAAAATAGGCGCTATAAAGTTTCAAACTTTCCTAATATTTCTCTAAAGAAGGGGCATAACATAAATTACCAAATTAAAATATTTAATCATTCTACTTCAGTGGTTTTGTAACTGTGAAGTGTTCATCTTCTGAGAACAAAGCATAGCTTACTAAGGAGCATAAGAGTGCAGCATACAATATTAACAGGAATTTTTCAAAGTACTAAAGCACTTTGTCTTCAAAACAGATGAACTAGGTAAAAATAGTCTATCATTTCCAAAATAATAATACAAAATGATTATATATGTACTTATATATTTAGATTTGACTGCCACTGTACATTCTCTTTGGATTCTCTCAAAGAATATTCTTCACAAATTGCTAATATAGGAACCCACAGTAAACACAGTAAATGAACCCTGACTGATCAAGACTCAGGTAGACGAATTCAAATACTGATTACTAGAAATCTAATTAGCAATCAAAATAAGAATAGAGATTATAAAACCTCAAAGACAAAAATTATAATATAAATTATGTTTACTATGTGCCAGATACTGTTCTAAGTAAGCATATTATGAGAAGGATCTCATCTAATCCTTAGTACAAGGCTAGCAAGTAGGTACTATTATGACCTCCAGTTAAAGCTGGCAAACCTAAGGCACAAAGCAGTTTATACATTGCTTTAAAATCTCACAGCTAGGGCTTCCCTGATGGTTCAGTGGTAAAGAGTCTTCCTGCCAATACTGGAGACATGGCTTCAATCCCAGAACTGGGAAGAGCCCACACGCTGCAGAGCAACTAAGTGTGTGTGCCTCCCATGTTAAGCCTGTGCTCTGGAGCCTGGGCAATCAACAACAGCCGAGTCCACGCACCACAGCTGCAGAAGTTCGAGGAACCACAACTGAGTCCACGCGCCACAGCCGCGTCCACGTGCCACAGCCGCGGAAGCCCGAGGATCCACAGCCGCGGAAGTCCGAGGCGCCACAGCCGAGTCCACGCGCCACAGCCGCGGAAGCCCGAGGATCCACAGCCAAGACCACGCGCCACAGCCGCGGAGGACCGAGGAGCCACAGACGAGTCCACACACCACAGCCGCGGAGGTCTGAGGAGCCACAGCCGAGTCCACGCGCCACAGCTGCGGAAGTCCGAGGAAACACAGCCGAGACCATGCGCCACAGCCACGGAAGCCTGAGGAGGATCCACAGCCGAGTCCACACGCCACAGCCGTGGAAGCCCAAGGAGCCACAACAGCCGAGTCCACGTGCCACAGCCGCGGAAGCCCGAGGAGCCACAGCCGAGACCACGTGCCACATCTGCGGAAGTTCGAGGAGCCACAGCCACGGAAGCCCGAGGAGCCACAGCTGAGACCACGCACCACAGCTGCGGAAGTTTGAGGAGCCACAGCCACGGAAGCCCGAGGAGCCACAGCTGAGACCACGCACCACAGCTGCGGAAGTTCGAGGAGCCACAACAGCTGAGTCCACGTGCCACAGCCGCGGAAGCCCAAGGAGCCACAGCCAAGACCACGCGCCACAGCTGCAGAAGCCCGAGGGGCCACAGCTGCGGAAGCCCGAGGAGCCACAGCCGAGACCACGCGCCAAAGCCGCGGAAGTTCGAGGAGCCACAGCCGAGTCCACGCGCCACAGCCGCGGAGGCCCAAGGAGCCACAGCCGAGACCACACGCCAAAGCCGCGGAAGTTCGAGGAGCCACAGCCGAGTCCATGCGCCACAGCCGCGGAGGCCCAAGGAGCCACAGCCGAGACCACACGCCAAAGCCGCGGAAGTTCGAGGAGCCACAGCCGAGTCCACGCGCCACAGCCGCGGAGGCCCAAGGAGCCACAGCCGAGACCACACGCCAAAGCCGCGGAAGTTCGAGAAGCCACAGCCGAGTCCACGCGCCACAGTCGCGGAGGCCCGAGGACACCATCTGGAGCCTCTGCTCCACAGCGAGACAAGCCACCGCAATGAAAAGCCTGCGCACAACTCGAGGGTGGCCCCCACTTGCCACAACCAAAGAAAAGCTCACGCAGAGACGAAGACCCAGCACAGGCAAAAATCGAGTTCTTGGAAAATCACACAGCTAGTAAATGATGAAGTTAGGATATGACTCCCGAAAGTCCATTTTCAGCAGGTGCTTTTAACCATACCAAAACACTATCAATGAAGTCTTCAATTATGCCCATAAAAGAAATGGCTTTATTTCATGTTTAGATAGTTGTTAAGTTAAAGAGCAAGTTAAGTGGAAGAGACATAAAAGTGATGTAAACAAAATTTTGGAGAATGCTTTTTTCCTCAAATATTTGTTTTATATGTGAAGAAAGGCACAAAGAACCAATGATTTAACACAAAACAGGATGAGCTCAACAATCTTCAAAGTATTCTAATTCAACAACCTCAAAATGCTTTACTGTTTTAAATAAAAGGTTATAGGAAGAATGGCAGTATGTTCTTCTCAAACTGTCTCAAGTCCCAGAAGCCTGTAGCCTATAAACAGTGTACTACTGTATAAACTAACAATATAACACAGTCATAACCAATGTTTTAGAATCAGCGGAGTCAAAAGCATACACTAGTGACATAAACGAGGATGCGAATTCATTTCTTTCAAAATGTCAGGTAAATTTACGTAAAAACACCATTGAATATAACAGGCATATTTTGCCTAGCAACTAAAATACTGTATTTCCAGCTGAATAACTACATCCCTCTAATGAATAGGCAGTAATATTTGATATACCTTGTTAGTGCTAGAACTCTCACTAGAAATCTGGAAAAGATTCTGAAAGACACAGTAGCATGTCTTTTGCTAAATAGATCCTTCAAAATCATTCTGAGAGTGTTGTTGGCTACTTCAATTTTCTTTCCATATTTGATTCTTTTTTTTTTTTTTTACATTTTATTTATTTATTTTTTTGTTTCACAACCATAGTGTATCTTTTTTTTTTTTTTTTTTTATATGTATTCCCCATCCCGGTCCCCATGTGCAGGTAAGAATTATTAAACTTGTCGATGATTTACAGCCTTTTATCATATTCACTCCACTTTCTGGCCAACTACCTTAGCGATTTCTAGTGAAAAGATACAAAAGGGAAATAAAAGGATCAAAATTTGAAGGTGCCCAAGTGTGATAATGAACCTGTTATTCTCTGCAAACAATGTCTTTCCTCTGTCCTTGCCCATTTCAGTCCTTTGCTCTGATCTGCCATGTTAAAGACTCCTCCTATTCCAGCACCTTCCTGGAATTGCATTTAAATAGGCCGCTTTTCTCTGAAATTGACTGTTTTGATTTGTGAGTTCCCCAAGCTTTGACAGTAAACCAGGTTCTGGGCCAGACAAAGCACAGAACAGAATTACTAAGTATAATGCATTTGGAAGCTGAGCTCACAAGGCCTAAAGAATGACACAGGCATTTGAGTCATTCATTCACACATACCCATCCTTGGTGACAAGAGAGTCCTGAGAAACTTTGGTGACAAGCTCTCATGACTTAATGGAGAGGGAAGCCTTGGAGACTGACAGCTATACAGGCAGGCTGGTCTCCACAGTGTGGATCCATCTAGAAACCTGATGCCCATTGGCTTTTTCTGATCTCCACAGATGCTATAGAGATGGAGAACAGGGAGCAGTGTTCAAAGTCACCTTCTCCCCAGTAGCAAGTGCAATTCTATCATTTTAACCAAAGGAAGAAACTCTCATGAGCAAAGTAGCCTAGGGATGGCTGAGTAATAAATACAAGTAAATAGGGCAACAATTCACTCATTAAACTCATTATTTTGTCATGTCATCCATCCACCTACTAACCACATGGCAGAGTGGAAACATTTACAGCTTTGAAGCTGTATATACTTGAGCTCAAACATGATACTACTGATTACTAGTTAAATGACCTTGTAAAAGTTACCTATTTATAAGCTTCAGTTTCTCTGTCTATAGAGGTAATAACAGATCTTTCAGGATTGTTCTCGAGAATGCCTCTTTCATTGAACATAGCCATACCTTATTTTACTGTGCTTCATTTTACTGCGTTTCACAGATAATTATGTTTGTTAACAAGTTGGTTTGTGGTAGTCCTGAATCAAGCAAGTCTATTGGTGCTATTTCCAGTAGAATTTGCTCACTTTGTGTCTCTGTATCCCATTTTGGTAATTCAGACAATATTTCAAACGTTTTCATTATTATTACATTGCTATGGTGATCCATGATCAGAGATCTTTGACATCACTCTTGCAATTGTTTTGGGGTGCCACAAATTGTACCCACTGAAGATTGTGAACTTGATCAGCAAACACGTGTCCTGACTGCTCAGCAAACCTCCCTTCACCCATCTCCCTGTCATACTGGGCCTTTACACAACACTACTGACATCAAGCCAATTAATAATTCTGCACTGGCCTTTCAGTGTGCGAGTGAAAAAGAAGAGCTGCAAGTCTCTCACATTAAAAGAAAAGCTAGAAATGATTAAGCTTAGTGAGGAAGGAACGTCAAAAGCTAAGACAGGCAGACAGCTACGCCTCTTGTGCCAGATCGTTAGCCAAGTTGTAGATGCAAAGAAATAGTTCTTGAAAGAAGTTTAAAGTGCTGCTCCAGTGAACACATGAATGATAAGTGCAACAGCCTTATTGCTGATAGGCATAAAGTCATAATGGTCTAGATAGGGGATCAAACCAGCCAGAGCATTGCCCTAAGCCAAAGCCTGCCCAGAGCAGCGTCCTAACTCTTTTCAGTTTTAAGAAGGCAGAGATAACTGAGGAAGCTGCAGAAAGTTTTCGTAGCTAGCAGAGTCTGAGATGAGATTAACTTCACGTTGTGCGTTTTAAAACTGGGTTAAGTTTTAAAATTACTGATGAGATTTAAGAAAAGAAGCCACCTCTATAACATCAAAGTACAAAGTGAAGCAGCAAGTACTGATGTAAAAGCTGAGTCATTCAGATCTAGTTAAGTTCATTAGTGAAGGTGGTCACACTAAGAAGCAGATTTTCAATGTAGACAAAACAGCTTTCCATTGGAAGAAGATGCCATCTAGTATTTTCAAAGCTAGGGAGGAGAAGTCAACATCTGGGTTCAAAGCATCAAAGCACAGGCAGACTCTTCGGTTAGGGGCTAATGCAGCAGCACCTTGAAGTTGAAGCCAAAGCTCACTTAGCATTTCAAACATCCTAGGGCCTTAAGGATAATGCTCAAGCTGCTCAGCCTGTGCTCTATACACGGAACAACAACGCCTGCATGACAAGACATCTGCTGACAACGTGGTTACTGAATATTTTAAGCTCAATGTTGAGACGCACTGCTCGGAAAAAAAAGATTCCTTTCAGAATATTATCACTCATGAACAATGCGCCTGGTTACCCAAGAGCTATAACGGCGATGTGCAATGAGATCGATGTTGTTTTCATACTGCTAGCACAACGTCCATTATGCAGCCTGTGGCCATTCCAACTTTCCAGTCTTATTATTTAAGGAATATGTTTTGGGGACTTCCCTGGCAGTCCTTGGTTAAGGCTCTGCGCGTCCACTGTAGCAGGTGTGGATTCAAGCCCGGGGCAGCCCTGCAAAAACCATATGGCATGACCAAATATTTCAAAGAAAAGAAAAGAAAAAACAGACATTTAATATGCTATAGTTTAAAGGCTATTTAAAGGCTACAGTTGCCATAGACAGTGATTCCTCTGGAGACTGTGGGCATCCTTCTAGATGCCATTAAGGGCATTTGTGATTCATGGGAAGAGGTCAAAATATCAACATTAACAAAAGTTTAAAAGAAGTTGATTTGAACTCTCATGGATGACTCTGAGGGGCTCAAGACTTTAGTGGAGGAAATAACTGCAATATAGTGAAAATAAAAAGAAAATTAGAACTAGAGGTGAAAACTTAAGACTGAATTGCTGCAATCTCATGATAAAACCTAAATGGATAAGAAGCTGCTTCTTGCGGATAAGCAAAGTGTTCTCTAGAGATGAAGTCTACCCTAAGTTGAAAGGATGACAAAGGATTTAGAATATTACATAAATCTAGCTGTTTTAACAACAGCAGGGTTTGAAAAAATTAACTTCAATTTTGAAAGAAGTTCTACTCTGGGTAAAATACTATCAAACAGCATTGATGCTACAGATAAATCATTCTTAAACAGAAGAGTCTATTGATGCAGCAAACTTCACTATTTTTTTTATTT